AATTCTGGGATGTGCTTGACAGACTAATGCAAATATCTAGGCATTGAAAGAAAAGCAGAAAATGTATAAAAGCCCAGAAATAATGACTGAGGCCATAATCTCTGATTAGCATAGCTATACTGCGTGGAATATTAAAGATATATGGAAGGCTGTGTTGGAGGTGCAGTCCAGATGCCATTATGTTGAATGAGTAGATTTGCTCTATTATTATTATAACCCGAGCTGAACACACATATAGTGCTGTCACACTCTAGCAGTGTCGTCACCCTGGCTACATTGGTGGTATACGCAGGCAACAAGGTTGGGAAAATAAAAATGCTAAACAAAACATTTGCCCAGATAACATGAAGGAGTCTCATAAGCATTTATAACTTATCTATTTATTTTAGAGTGAAACATGAAACCTAATGTAGGCTGGGTAGTTGACAAGAACATCACTCCTACAAGTAGCTAACATTTTTGGTATATTTATATAAGTCAAGTGGAAATTTTGTCCCTTAGCATTGGCAACACAAGAAATGCTAAGAAAATACTGTACACAGTCATTTTAGCTTTTTCTGTTTTCAAGTTGGCTGGAGTTCAAACAAACTGATGTATTTAGAATGATCATCCATCCCATCCCTCATTTAATAAAACCTATTTAAAATATTGCCCTTATTAATGACTACCAGAACACAGCAGTGTTCATTATTCCTGTAATTCAATTGCCAGAAGTTTGTGTAATAAATCAGAAAAAGGTTAAAATATTTTTCATGCCAGAATAGAATGTATCAATCTATTTTATTTGATTACCTTGTGTAATGAGGCCTTCTCAAGGCCAGATTACCTTACTCATTATAATTATGCCAGATCATAATTTTGCTTAAAATGGAAAAGATTTTAAAATGTCAGAAATTCAGTCGAAGCTAATTTAGGGCTTTCCCCTTTCCTTTGTACATTTCAGGACATGAGAAATGATATCCTGCTCTTCCAAGAGGAGAAAAGAGAGTCACATTGTTCCTAATGGCATCTGGACAACTCATCTTATTCACTGGTTCAGAAATTCAATAAAACCATCTATAATGTTTTTTAATTACAAAGTTGAATTCTATTCCTATAAGTAAACTCTTGTTTACAATAATATGTTTCTCTTTGTGATGATATTTCCTTTTAAGTGAATACAAGCTGAATTCAGCCAATAAAGAAGTTCATATTTTTAAAAATAATAATTTAACCAATAGAGATTATTGGAGGCATTTTCTGCAGTCTTTCTTATCCTCTTGAGGATAAGAGAGATTGCCCACCACCCCTCAGCCCCTGGTGGGAATAATTTTTCACCTGTGGCTCCAGCAGCCCAGGAAGTGTCCCTGGGAGCCAGCTGTGACTCCAACAGGATGATATTTCTACGTCCTACTCTTATCAAGGTGCTCCTCCAAATTGAAACAGGACCACTCCAACCACTGACTGAACCCCACACATCATTAGGGTAAGAAAGCCCTCAATTCCACTTAAATCATAAACAGCACATGAGAAACAAGATGGTCTCAAGGCAAGGAATCAGGGGAGGAAAAACCATGGTGACAGTTGAAATCGAGGAAGATCTTTTCTTATAATTCTTCAAAATTATACCTTGCAAAACATATAAATGTGACTCTTGCAAGAATGTCCCAAAATAAAAAGAAATTACTACCATATATTTGGAAGGATGGAGAGCAACTAGGACTCTTGTATATTGCTCTGGGAATGTAAAATGATAAAACCTCCCATCTCTTTGGCAGTTTCAAACAAAGTTAAACATCCCCTATCATATTATCTAGCACTTATACTAGAAAATAAAATAAATAGATAGATAGATATAGCCATTAAAAGATCTGTGCAGAGGTGTTCATAGCAACTTTATTTAACATAGTTAAAACTGGAAACAACCCAAATGTTCATCGACAGGACATCTATAGTCCCTTTGTCCAGAAAAATAAAATAATTCTCTTTTAAATGTAGAGTGTGGGATGCTCTAATTGATTCATGGTGTAATGCTAGACTCAAGGGCACTAGGATTAAGGGTGTGAGTGCTACCTGCCCTGAGTAGCCTGGACAAGATGTATGGGATAGAAAGAGCTGGGGTTGTTCCTTGCTTGCTTTGCTATATTCTGCCTGCCATGAACTGTTTCTTCTCAGCAATGCTTGTCCACCCTGCCCACTTGCGTTGCAGCCAGCTGACTAAGAACTGAAACCCCTACAAACTGTGAGCTAAATAAGCCTTTCCTCCTTTAATCCTGGGTGTCAGGTATTTTGCCTCAGTGACAAGGAAAGTAGCTAAAATATGATGGGAGCCACTTCCAGAACTGTCCCTCAGAAAACTCCCCCTCTGTCTCTGCTGCCAGCTGGATGTTAATGGCCAAGGCCGAACAATACCCGTGCTGCCAAGAGTCTGTCAACCCGGATCCCCAAATAACCATATTGAGTAGAGCCCTACTGGAGGCTGGGTGAGCAGGAATGAGCTTCTGTTATGCGAGGCCGTTGAAATCTGAGGGCTTCTCTGTTTCAGCAGTTGTCATTACCTGTTTTACAACAGAGGATTTCTTCTGTGGCAAGAGTAAACTAGACAGTGTTGGGCTGTCTGTGGCATTCAATAGAGAAATAGAGAAATCCAAAGACAATAGAGAAATCCAAAGACAATCTGATTTATTTCCTGCCTCCCAGTTTGTGACTTGCTTATATATTAACTTTTGAGTTCAACTAAGCCAGCCCAAAATGATTATGCTTTTGGCAAATGCTTCTATCAATATGGTAATCCTAAAAATCCAGAATAAGTCCTTTGAAATTGGCTCAATCACATAAAACATGCTGAATGTCTTTTTAAAGGTGAGATAAAGAGCTACCCTAAAACAAAAAGCCCATGTTTTTCCTTCCTGGAATTTGTTTCTTTCCATCCAGAAATGCAATGCAGATTAGTCACCAGTATGTCAACCCATTTGTAGGAAGGCATCACAGATATTGTCAAGTAAACCAATTCTGTTCCTGCGATTGTGTGTCTTTTGCATGTGAGTCTGGGTGTATATAACTTTCAACTTCTTAGCAGTTTAAAATCAAGTCATTTCTGATTTTATCCATGCCATGTATTCTTACTAGGCTACAGTGACAATCAAAGCCTTACAGAGAAATAAATCTTATTTTGTTGGATAATAGGAATTTTAGTGGCAAGGAATTTTCAAGCCAGATCCATTGTAGTGTAAATCCAATTTTTCCCTGCTTGGTTAGAATGGAGAATACAAGAACCTTAGAACAGTTCTCTTGGGTATTGTGTTTTATTTTTATAAAGTCCAAGGTGTATAGAATTTTAAAGCTCCTCCTTTTCTTGCCCTGAGGATGAAGTGCAAGCTTCTAAACAGGATTTGTGTGTTCTTGTTCAGGCTCCTGTTTGCTTCTCCTACCTTGCACCCTGTCCACCAGCCATTCTGCAACTCCTTTCCATTCCTAGGGGTGCTGTGCACTCCATCTCCTCCAGCCTTTGCACATACAGCTCCCTCAGCCTAGCTCTGGGACCAAGTCCTCCTTCTACTCTTCTTCCTTCCCTTCTACTCAGCCTTCAGGACTTGGCTTAGCTGTCATTTCTTCTGCACAGAAAAGACATTCTTTGCATTCTTTAAAACTGGGTTAGGTGAGCCTCCTGAGTCTTTCATCAACATTATTCTTAACTGGAAGACACAAGATCTCATACTGTAATGGAAGTTTAGTGGTCAGTATCCTTCTTTAGATTTCAGTCTCCATAAGGTCAGAGTGGATCTTTGTAATGACATTAAAGCTAGTATCTAACACAGTACATGGACCATCATAGTTGCTCTGAAAATGTACATTCAATGTTGCTAGATTTAGAATAATCCTTGTCTGATGTTGAGATCTATCACACACACAGAAGATAATGCTACTGACCTACCAACCAAAGGACACTTATCTTGAATTTTCTTATCCCTGGGATCACTTGCGACCAAAAGAACTGAAGTAGCATAAGAGATGGGTGTAAATCATAGTTGTCATTTGCACAATAAATAATTATATTCAGTGACTGAATTCATGACCCTGAATTCATTCTGTAACTAACTGAAATAGGACAATAGAGACTGACTTTTACAAAATGATCAAGACAGATATAAACATAAGTCACAAAACAAATGGACCTCTCACCGATTTGGGTAATGGTAATGTGTTTCTTCCTATCTACAGAATCAGGGAGAACGACCCAGTGCAGCAGTGGCAAGCTAGACCTCCTTCCCTGTCTGTGCACCACTGCTCAGCAGCACACCCATTGTTTGGGAGGTTCTCTTGGAACTTACACTTGAGTTGATCCAGAATACTTTTGACCTTGGATGTTTTGCTCTTGCAAAACCTGTTCCCATCTTTCATTTTCCTATTCCTCATACTAACTGTGCTCTTGTGTTTCCAGTCATGATCTTTAGTCACCATTCTGCTTTGGGATCTACGCTTGCCTAGTTAGAATCAGGGTCAAACCAGCCTGTTTTCCACAGTCCCAGATCTGAGACCTCTAGCTGCCAAATGCCCACCAACATTGTGAGTGCTGCTGGAGGGCTCAAAGCCTCAGGACTTGGCTCTCAAACACCAGCACTTCTGAGAGGATTTGGGGCAGCCAAGTATGCAGGTGGGTTCAGTAAAGAGAGGGACCGCTTTCCTATTACTATTGCTTGGACATACATGAGTATGGAAGAAGTAGAGAGACTTTGAGAAAATGGCAGCATGCATCAGGAATTTTCTAAGGCCACAAATTATGATGCAGAAAGATATGAACCCTTGGCTTCATATCAAAACATCCTCAATTCACCAGACCTTTCTCATGTATAGGGGTAGATGAAGAAGCATTAAACAAGGAGTGTTTGCCAGGGTGAGCTGACCACAGAGTATTAAGTGTCTTAAAAATGCGACAATTAGAGAGAATTTTTAAACCCAAAGCATCAATCAATGACATTATGCTGACTGTTAATATTGTGTATATAAAAGGTTGTTTTTACCTTGTGCAACTGATAATACTGGAAGGCACCAAGTCCACCCTGTTCCTCTGCAGTCCACAGCACCAGGCGCAGAGTTCTCTTTGGACGTAACCCTGGGAAAAATAAAAGAAGCAGTCTGTCCGTTGATTTTGGACTTTTTCCAGTGGCAACACCCATCACCTGCACTGTGGACACTGGAGAGAATTAGAGGCACTCCTCTCTTGCTGGGCAGCTGCCTGCCTGAGAGTATGGCCGACTGTTATGGTTGAAACATTGTGTCAACTTGGGGAGTCTAGAGGTTTGGCTAAGTAACTCAGCAGGAAGCCAGGATAATTACTTTGTATACATCCTGAGCCTGTGGAAGAGGAGGGCATGGAGACTGTGTGAGAGCTACACGCCCCTTAGGTGGGGGTAGCCTGTTTACAAAGTAAAGCAGGGAAAGAAGCTGCTTGCCGCCATTCCTCCAGTTTTGCTCTGGCTGTTTGCTGTTCGGCTGCCATTCCCCCTTGCTCTTGTTGCTTTGCTGTCTTCTGCCTCAGAGCCAACCAAGTATGGACTGAAACCTCTACAAACTGTGAGCTAAATAAACCTTTCCTTCCTTCATTTTGGGCGTTGGGTATTTTGTCTCAGCAAGGAGAGAAAAGTAACCAAGACACCGACACAGCAAAGAAGAACCACAGGGCTGATCCCCAGGGCCGACGAAAGGGGTTATGACAAGCGCTATCTGCAAGTCCAGAAGTGAGAGCCTCTCATCACATCCCTAACTGGCAATCCTGCCTGGCAGGAACGCCCAATGGATGGTCAAGTTCAGTGTGATACTAGGTGATATCCAGAAGGAGCAGTTAGGAAGAGCTTAAGGAGATCTTGAGGTCTTGAAGAAATCTTAACTGGGACCAAATTATTTGATTCTACTTTAAGATTATTAGTGGGGGGATTATTAGTCTGTTTGTTTGTTTGTTTGTTTTTTGGTTTTGGTTTTTTTCTCCAGTACCAGGAATTGAACTCACAACCTTGCGCTTGCCAGACAGGCACTGTGCCGTTGAGCTAAATCCCCAGCCCCGGATTATTAGTCTGAATTCACAAGTACAGCTACCTTCTCATGTTATCACCAGTACCATAGTAACTATGAAATGATGCAACATTTATGTTTACCCAAGGCCACTTTCTTCTTCTATTTGGAAATATGTCATTCACTGAAGGTCAGCAAAAATTAATTGATTAAGCATGACGTGTACTAACTTTATTACTTCACTAACAGCTTACGGCAATTTCATTGACTTGTGATAAACAAGTTTGTATGGATAGTCCCTGCCTTATGATGGTTCAATGTACTAGTTTTTTTGTTTTTGTTTTTGTTTTTTTTTTACTTAACAACAGTGCAAAAGCAAAGTACAGTCCGCTGAAAACAAGATACAAATTTTGATCTCTTCCTGGGCAGGTGATATGCCCTATGAACATTTCTCATGAGATTAGAGAGCAGAAGCTACTCAGAGCTGCCAGTCAGCCACATGATCACAAGGAGAAGCAGCAGAGGCCCTACAGTGCCCTATGTGGCTAAGCTGGAATGTTGGGTAGCTTAGGTGCATTGAATGCATTTTGGACTTACAATCATTTTCAAGTTGTGCTGGGTTTATTAGGAAGTGTCAGTCAAGGAAGTTATTGAACTTAATAATGGTAGATGTGGCACATCTGAAACCATTTCTGAGTGACTATGTCTGCTCAGTAAAAGTTAATGCAAGAAAACTCTTTTCCAAAATTAAAGCACAATAAAACAGTAGTATTAAAGTGTCACTTTGTCACCAAGAATTAAAATCTGTCCGGATTCAGACCTGATAATGTCATTTTCTTAGAAATAGCAAAGGCAGAAAAACGTGAAGCTGTATGTGAATCCTACTAAAAGGATTTGCCTCCCTGCCTCCTCCCAGGAGAGTCACTGGTAAAGATTGAAATGTGCTTTGAGCGGCTCTGAGACAGACATGCTACGAGGCTCTGCTATGACCGCACATGTGCCACCACTCAAGGGAACAGGCACCAAAGGCAGGAGCCATGCCAGCCACAGCTGGGACGTGGAACTCCTTCCTGCTGTCTCCAGATGCCCACAATCCTCCTCCTCTCGTAATCGCAATGCTGAGTTGCTAAAATGAGGCAGCTACATTTTCCCTTGAATCAAATAAGGTTGTGAAGTTATTTTACACTTGAGAACTTTGACATTATTAAAAGAGCGTAAGTTAGGATGCAGGCTGACCCGAGTTTCGGGTAAAGCCTGGAGAAGCAGTTTCCACATCAATCCCACAGTGAATCCTCTGGAATGTCCTTGTGAGCCCAGCAGAACGGAACTTCTCACCTCTGCTGCACTCTGGTCTGGGCCCTGCCCTCTGGTGTCCGGATTGTCAAAGCCATCTCCTTCCCCCAGCCCTCAGCTCTCTGCAGAGGGCGCTGCACCAGGTGGCCAGAAGGAGCTTGGCAAACCTAAGCTGGTCATACCATTTCTCCGCCCCAATCCTCCAGAACCAAAGTGTAGGCTTCTGGGCGGCAGCGGTTTCTGTGTTTTAATTCAGTTCCCAGAATATTTGGCACACACTCAGTATCCGATCAGTAGTACTGAAGGGGTGTCTGAATGCAAAGCTTGGTATCTGTACTAGAATAAAAGTCAAAGTCCCTTCCCAGCCTCCTCTAGAACTTCTGCCAGCCCACTCCCAGGCAAGGTGTTACACAAGAAAGAGGTGGGCAGAGCTGCTGAACCCTGCTACCATTAGACCGACCTGCCTGAAACTCAGGCTCCGATCTGACATGTGGAGAAGATACTGCACCCTCTACCACAACTCTTCACTGGGGTGGTGGTGGGGGATTCATTGGGAGGGGAGGATGTGTGTAAAGCCTGGAGCTGATATGTAATGGACATTTAATAATGAACTATAAAACAACATGATGGTATCCAGGCATGGAACATACTTTCACCTCCACACAAGAGAGGGGGAATCTACATGCCCAGAGAGGAGATTCTTCCAAAGACCTCTGAGAAGAACCTGGCATGCCCATTGCTTGCTCCAGCGTCAAACCACCTATCGTATTTCGGCCTCTCGGTTGCAGTCAAGTGTAGAGTCTGACCACCCGCTCACACCCACGGCATGAACTGAACAAACTGTCGTCTTAGGAAGAAATCCAATCAGTATTACTCAAGATCTCAACCTCCAGTTTCTCTAAAAGAAATGTGCTTAAATTTGATTTAAATCAAAGTATATTTTGCTTACAACCCAGGGGGAAAGCAAGATAAAGTAATATCATCTATATGCGGCCAGTGAAAATTCTATACACTTTTAAATGTAATCTAAAAAATGTATTTTCTTTTTACATCTCTCTGTACCTACCAGAAAAAAGTATCAAATTATTAAAATGATGGAATTCTCTAACTAATGAAAAGAAGGCAGCACAAGCTTTAGAGAACCAACAGTTTACAGGTCACTGCTCTGAATATCCCTATAGATTTGATGTGCTGCTTTAAAGTCATTATCACAGAGGATAGGTCTCCCTCACATTTCAAATCAGTGATGGCCAATGATGTTTATATTAAGAGGATAAGAAAGAATGGATCTGAAGTGAGGAACAGCAATGTCTCAAAAGGATAGCAGTACAACTGGCTCTAGGAAGACAGAGCCTCCTCAAGGCCTTGCAGAGCTCAGCACCCAGTGGCAAGGAACACTGGACCTTCACAAAGCAGAGTCCCACAGAGGAGGTAAAAACCCTAGGAGTTTAGCAAATGCCTGTGTCCAAAGTCTCTTTCCACTCTGACAGTCTGATTGTCCCTAGACTTGAGAAAAGCATGGGACATCATCCCATAACTAGACCCTGAACCTCGTGTGGCATTTGGGTGCCCTGACCACCGAAGTCCACAAAGGACAGCATGGGGTACAGAAAGTCACTTCCTGTGCAGCCTGAATGAGCTGTTTCTTTCCTATCTCTGCCACTTCTGACTCTGTGAGTTACCTTAGTTGCCTGACTTCTCTGAATCTCCTGTCTCCATCTTTACAGTAAGGACATTGGCCATTGCCTGAAGGGGTTGGTAAGAAAATTAGATGAGATAAGGCAAATATACACCCAGCACAGTCTCTGGCACATAGTAGGTTTTAAAGAATTATTTATTAGCTTTTCTCTACATCACTCTACAAGGCTTTTGGGTCAATGTCAAATGCCAACAAGGGGTTGGGGATTTAGCTCAGCAGCACAGCGCCTGCCTGGCAACCACAAGGTCGTGAGTTCAATTCCCTGTACTGGAAAAGAAAACAAAGCATCTAATATATTATTGGAGCTGGGAGTTTAGCTCAGCGGCACAGTGCCTGCCTGGCAAGCGCAAGGTCGTGAGTTCAATTCCCGGTACCAGGAAAATAACCAAAAAAAAAAAAAAAAAAAAATGCCAACAATCAGCAGGGAGGGCAGGGTGGGGGAAGGGACAGAAGGGCCACTCCCCATGCCCTTCCTTAGGAGTCAGGGAAGGTCCCTGGTCATGAGAGTGCACGGCCCACCAAGGAAAACACAAATTCCATCTCACCTCTTGGAAAGCACAGAGCCTCTTTCCGAATGAAACACCCCAACACCCCAGCATCGCACTCATTCATGGTCAAATAAATAGAGGCAGGGTCCTTACTCTGAAAGTGAGGGCCAGTCAGAATATTTTCTGAGGTTGAAGGCTAAATGTATCTGAAAACTGAATAAAATCAATATAAGCATACAGCCATTCTTTGCTATATCGCATTTCACTTATTACAGCTTCACTGTATCACAGGTTTTAGAAAACTGTATATCTAATTCTGTATCATGGAGCTTTTGCTATACTGTGGGATTTCGCTGTAAATAGGTATTCATATAATATTTATGATTTTAATTATTTTGCCCCCCAAATTTAAAATAATATAAAAATATAAAAATGTTAATTCAAACATGTTAAAAGAATATTAAATCAAAATAAAATACTGTAGAGTAGGTATTTCATCAGTGGATGAATACCATACTGTACGCGATGGAAATGCAGTATGCCACTACCCCCAGCCCGAGCCTGGCAGAGCCACCTGGCCACACCAGTGGATCTGCACAGGGCAGGTTGTGCTTATAGGTGAGG